ATTAAGGTGAATATTCCAGTATCTCTGGTTAATCTTATCATGCAATGCATCTCCTCCTCTGAATTGGAGATCCTTTGGAATGGCACTCAGACAGGCAGTATCTCCCCTAGCAGAGGCTTAAGACAGGGTGACCCAATACCACCCTATATTTGTGTCCTTTCTATGGAAAAGCTCTCCCATTTAATTGCCGACTCTTTGGAGAAGAAAGAGTGGAAGCCAATGAAAGCTAGGAAAGGTGGGCCATCTATATCCCATCTTTTATTTGCGGATGACCTGATGTTATTTGGAGAAGCCAACATTGAGCAAATAAAGATAATGATGAGTTGCCTTAACAAATTTGGCAGCATGTCTGGCCAAAAGGTGAGCTTCCTTAAATCCAGTATATTTTTTTTCTAGAAATGTTCCTCTAGATGTTGTGAATGCAATTGTGGAGATTAGTGGTTTTGCTCACACTAAGAACCTGGGAAGATATCTTGGCTATAAAATGAAGCATGGCCGTATAAGCAAATTGCACTATGGAGATTTAATGGATAGGGTTAACAACAGGCTTCAAGGCTGGAATAAGCAATGTTTGTCAATGGCAGTAAGGACTACTTTGGCCAAATCAGTTATATCAACTATCCCTATGTTCAACATGCAAAACAGTCTGCTTCCTATAGGAATTTGTGAAGAAATTGAAAAGTTAGAAAGGAAATTCATTTGGGGAGATTCTGATAGCTAAAGGAAGTACCATGCTATTGGCTGGGATTGCCTTAAGATGCCTAAAGATCAGGGTGGCTTAGGTATTATAGATCTCAGACATCAGAATGAAGCCTTTCTCCAAAAGTGTGCCTGGAATATCATTCAATCACCTTTGCAATCTTGGGTTCAGGTCCTATATTCTAAATACAGTAGGAACAAGGATTTGACGAAAGAGGTGATTTGTAAACCTTATGATTCCCACTTATGGAAAAGTCTATGCAGAATATGGCCAAAAATGCTCAACAATACTGTTTGGCAAATAGGTAATGGGAGAAAGATTAAATTCTGGAAGGATGACAGGTTAGGAATCAACAGTAATCTTACCTCTCACTCAGCAACTCCACCTACAGATGGAGATTCTGACTTGATAATTATTCATAGTAAGTTTTGCTCAGAGGAGGGATGGAACATGCAATTCTTTCTAAGTCATTTTGAACAAAACACTGTTAATCTGATCTTAGCCATCCCTCATCCAGAAAATGGTGTAGAAGAAGATATTATAGTTTGGAAAACTGGAATCCGAGCAGCTCAATTGTTAAACTGGCTTATTGTAATAAGGTCTCTTCAACCACTGCTCCATCAAACAACTGCTGGGACCGTATATGGAAGTGGAAAGGAAAAGATAGAATTAAGATACTCTTATAGAAGATGCTACATGGAAGAATGTTGACAAAAGATAGAGTAGCCAATTGGAGTGGAGGGTCGAACAACTGCCATCTATGTCCAGATACAGTGGATGAGTGTTTACACGTCTTTAGGGACTGTTTCATGGCTAAAAAGGTTTGGCTCTTACCTATGTTTCACCCTCTTCCCCAGGGATTTTTCAGTTCGGGTTCCTTATATGATTTGTTATTTCTCAACTTACATATAAAATCTTGCCATGGAAAAGATTGGAGGGATATGTTTTTTTACTGTTTGCAATTCCCTTTGGAATTGGAGGAACAAAGAGCTTCACGAAGAAAGCTATAAGAGACTTGTGGACCCTTCAATCCCTCTAGCAGCCCAAATCGAGGAAATCAGGTGCAGTTGTGATTATAGGAAAAAAGAGGTCCTTAGCATCACTCCTCCCATCAAACCCGAAAATTGGATATCCCCTAATCAAGGTTATTTCAAACTGAATGTGGATGGTGCTGTGAATGGTGAGAGGGCTGCATGTGGAGGCCTCATAAGGGGTAGTAATGGAGACTACATTGGTGGGTTTTCGGTGTTTTTAGGTTCCTGTTCCTCCTTAAAGGCTGAACTATAGGCTGTCTATCATGACCTTGTTTTTGCCTGGAACCATAATTGGAAACAGATAATTGTGGAATCAGATTCTTCTCAAGCGTTAAGCCTTCTTACCCTTGGGGGTAATGACACTCGAAAGCTAACATTAGTAGCTAAGATTCGAGTTTTCCTGCAAAAGGAGTGGAGTGTTCAGATAAATGGTATTTCAAGGAAGTCTAACATGTGTGCAGATTGGATTGCAAAAAAAGCCTTAGATGATCCTCACAGTTTCATCCCAATCTCATCTCCTCATTGTGACCTCCTTAACCTCCTAGCTGCTGATATTCTGGACCCTAGTTTGGCTACTGGTGTTCACTAGGAACCTGTGAAGACTACTGGTTTTAATTCTTATAGTTTTTTCTTCTGTTTGTAATTCTGTTCTGTCTGTTTTGCTGTTTTCTTGTTGTTGGGGGGTTTTTAGCCCCTGTTGAATACCAAAAATAAAAATAAATTATTTTGTATAATATGGATAAAAGAAAAACACTTCTCACATATTGCATAAAAATTATTTTCTAATATAAATCCATCACTAGTTTACATAAAAAAAATAATTCTCATGCAACTCAAAGCCTATATTATATACATATTTCACTTTTGAAATATATTATTTGTCTAAATAAATATATAAACCCGAAACAGGGTGTGTAGGACAAAATATGCTATTTGCTTTTAATTCACTTACTCTTTTATTTTTATTTTTTTATCATTTATCTCCTGCACTCTTTCCCATCTAAGTCCTTCCTTACCAACATTTGAGTTTATAATTTATATAATTATTTTAAGATAGGTTATTCTACCAATTTCTTTTTCTGTTTACCTTTACCTATCACTCTAAAATACTGTTAAGCAGAATCTCAAAAGGAGAGAGAAAGATAAAGATTAGTTAAGATTCTGATATAATGATATTTTAAAGTTGTAGAAAAAAATAGACAGAAAAAAATAGTAAGTAAAATAATCTATCCCAATTATTTTACCCTGCTTGTAATAATACATCACAACTATCAGGGGTGTTCATCAACCGATCCAAATCGATTCAAATCGCGGTGACCGAACCGAAAAATCGATTACCGAATAAACTGAAAACTGAAAAACCGAAAAAAAACTGCAAATTTTAATTGGATTGGATCGGTTTTCGGATTGGTAGATGAAAACCGATCCAATCCAAACCGATCCAATGTATTAATTTTCCTCTACTTACTTGGGTTTTTCCTCAATTATAGCCCAAAAATTTCTAAACCCAAGACCTATTAACCCATCAACTAAACCTATAAAAAAACCTAGTCACATCTCATCAACAAAATTCCATCAGCTTCATATCTCATTGTAAAAAAAAAACTATATTATCGTTGTATTTTAAAAAAAATTACAAAGCCAATATATACAAAAGATGTTATTTGCACAATAATCATTAAACAAATTTTAGGATTTTCAAAAAGCCGAAAACCGATCCAATCCAAACCGAAAAATATTAGATCGGATCGGATCGGATTTGAAAAAAAATCCAAACTGAATGGATGAATACATGATCAAACCAAAAGGATTGGATCAGATGATTTTTTCTTCCAAAACCGATCCAATCGAGACCGCGAACACCCCTAACAGCTATCATATAAAATTTCTCCTGTCGTTTTTTTTTTCATCATTTATCCCTGTATTTTTTTCCATCCAAATCATTTGTTAGTTTGAGTTTCTAATTTACATGACTATTCCGACAAAAAAATTAATTTATTGCTTTTTTAATAAAAAATTACGAAAATGTAGTCGTTTTGAAATTAATTACAAAAATATAGCAGTCAAACACGCTCACATGGGGCGTGTTCCAATATAGAGAAACACGCCCATGCGAGGCGTGACCTAAGCGTGAGTCACGCCCACATGGGGCGTGACCAGGTTGGAGAAAGACACTCCCAATTGGGGCGTGACCGAGGAGAGAGACACTCCCCATTTGGGCGTGATCGAGGAGAGAGACACTCCCCATCTGGGTGTGTTTCACCAGGTGCTACCACGTGGCATAAAAGTCAACAGTTTAACCGTAAAACTTTGAAAGTCCATAACTTTTGACTCTGGTATCCAAATTAAGTAATTTTTTTTTATTCCATATAACTTTTCGAGATCTACGTAATGACACCTCATTTGACATATTTTGTCTCTCACAATTTTTTTTTGAATTTACAACAATGATACCATAATTATTAAAAATGACATAACTTTGTTACCTTATAGTTTTTACTAAAAATAATCTAACATTTTTAAAATCATGAACAAAAAATTAAAAATCAAAATAAAACGAAAAGAACTCACTTAACTTTTTAATATAATTATTCGATATTCTGTCACTGACAGATGTTAACCGAATAAAATTATAAATTTCATAAAATTCTTCATTTAAATTTTTAATATATATCTCAATAACATACATAATTAACCTTATCATAACTTACCATAATCATAAGGATCTTTATTATGAATGTTTCTAATCATAACAATGATTTTATGCTTATTAATTTGAGTTTAAACGTTTTTATGGTATAATTATTGTAAATTCAATTTTTTTTAGAGACAAAATATGCCAAATGAGGTGTCATTACGTAGATCTCAAAAATTTATGTGGAATAAAAAAAAAATTACCTAATTCGAATACCTGAGTCAAAAGTTATGGACTTCCAAAGTTTTACGGTCAAACTGTTGACTTTTGTGCCACATGGCAGCACCTAGAGGAACACGCCCAGATGATGAGTGTCTCTCTCCTCGGTCACGCCCAGATGTGGAGTGTCTCTCTTCAACCGGTCACGCCTATGAGGCGTGTTTAACTGGTATATTTTCGTAATTAATTTTAAAACGATTACTTATTCGTAATTTTTTATTAAAAAAACAATAAATTAATTTTTTTTCGTGACTATTCCACCCTTTTTATAATGACGCATCTCAGCTACCATATAAAATTTCTCCGGTTGTTTTGTCGCGTTGCCAAAGGAGGCATAAAGCGACGACGTTTTGTTCTTTCCCACAAGTTGCAGTGGCAGTGGCACCCCAATCCAATCCTCTCCTCCTCCTCCTCCTTCTTCCTGTGTTGAGGGCAAAGGACAACAACATCAACAACAACAACCACAAGTAGAAGCTACATAAGGAGTGAGCGAGTGAGAATGAGCACGGAAGAACGAACATTGAAGCTGGTGGGGCCAACAGAAACCTTCGAAATCGACAAGGATCTCACTCTTGTCCCACGCATAAAGCTGAACCTCACTGTGTACCCTTCAACACCCTCTACTCTCACTAACCCTATCGACGAGTGGAAGATGAAGCGCGCTCTCATCGACTTCCTCAAAACCTCTCATTCCCTCTCTCTCCCAGAAGACGACCTTCAAATCAAGCGATTCAGGGACCTCAAGAAGCGCAAGCGCGACGACCCAGTTGCCGCCGGCACCCTCCGCATCTGGGACCTCGACTTCCTCGAAAAGGGTAACGGGGAATTCTTGGAGTGGAGGAAGCATCTGGTGGAGAACATGGATGGGATCGAGTTGAATCTCGAAGGGGTTAAGTTCAAGCTTGCTGTTTCTCTTCCAGTTTCCGATGATTTTGAAGGCATGAAGAAAGCTTGGGAAGAGTTTTATGCCTTTCAAAATCGGGGCTTTAATAGAGTGAATCGTGAACCTGATACAATCATTCTCAAGGGTGTGCCTTCGCGCTGGTTTGCTGAGCCCAGAGTTTCCTCTAAGCCTTCCATGCTCGTTACTCATACCATCTTTTCAACATTTGGCAACATAAGGTTGATTTTTTTTCTTTTTCTTTTTTTAGCACTATATTTGGTTTTTGGGCAATTCCCAATTCTTAATTTCGACATTTTCTGTCATGTTTTTGGATGATGAATCCGTTGTATTATATTTCAAATTGAACGTTCTAGAGCCATAATTGAGTTGGAGGTTATACTTGAATGGGAAATTATGAAACACATTGTGAACTGAAGATTGGATTTATACTTAGGTTTGATTGTCCCTGCCAGCAATCTCAGATTAGTAAGTGATCTGTAAGCACCATTGTAAGCCAAAGCCCTTGCTAAGGCTTGTGGCATGCCCTGGCTGTGTAATGGGGGTACTCTCCTCTCTCCCTTATCTTTTCAAAAAAAAATAGGAAAGAGTGTATTAAATAAGGGAAAAATGAATAAACTTAAAAAGCTACTGAGATACTCTATGAACGTTCTTAGTTTGCAGTTCCTTAGCAGACTGGTGCTTTATAGTTTATCCCCACTAAAGCCTGCTAAAGGTTCAGATAATGTTTATGTTGCCTATGTGAGAATTTTCATATTTAACTTACTTAGCTCTCCCATTACTACCAATAATGTGATTGTGCCTTAATTCTTTTGTTCCATAACTTGCATTCAATAGGAATCTTTATGTTGCGGAGGATGATGATCTTGGCAAGGATGCAAGCGAAAATGGTGGAGACCTAGTTTCGGGCCTTTACTGCAAGATTGTGGTTCAGTTTGAGAAATATAAAGACTTCCATGACGCATTGAGTGTTTTGTGTAGTCGCTCATTGCAAAAGGTATTGGATTAGTTTCTGACTTATGCATAACCATAGCATCTAAACTGTTGCAATAAAATTTCAAATACTTAAGAACAAATGACTGCCGTTATCTTAAATGGACTTTTTTGGGTTTTGTCATCAGTTCACAATGGATCAATTTTTACATAATTAGGCAATCCAGTTCATTGTGCTGGCAATGATAGTGGTTAGAAGTGTTATAGACAATTGCTGAAACTGATAATCTAAAAGCAGTAGCAGATTTGCATCATATTCATGATTGATATAGCTGATGAAAACTGGGTAGCAATTTGCATGAAGAATTCTTTGCAAAATCAGAAGCTTGGATATGTTATCTTTGATAAATGATTTCTTGGTGGTGGTTTATTAATTGTCAATGAACAGGAAGGATCACGATTAAAGGCTGATTATGAGGTTAGTTGGGACAAAGATGGATTTTTTCGGAATTCAAGGAATCAAACAAAGGAGATGAATGGCGTAGCATCTGCAGTGGCAGCAGACCATTACAGAAGTGAAGCTCCCAGGCGTCAGGCCTACAACTCTCGCCATAGTCCAGATAATGTGCGCCAGAGGAGATTCAAGGTTAGATTTTTGATATCTCAAGGGGCTCTCTAATTGTCCCTAGTATATTTTTAGTTATGTCCTTTGGTTTACTAGTTGTATAGTCTGTAATTGATGACAAGTCTGCCAATATTGACATGAAGCTTTTTTATTTGATGCAGGAATAAGAACTAGAAAGCTTCTTTTTTGGGGTCAACTCTGAAAGCATTTAGTTATGGACTGAACTCAAGTTTAGACTCGTAGAATGCACTGGTATGTGAACTGCATACAATTTATTGGGGTCATTCATTGACTTGGGCATTTTGGGGTCTACCCAAGTGCATAAGGCTGGATAATGGGATTGGATTATCTTCAGAGATCAGCTGTAATAACACTTTGTAATTCAATGCTCCAAATTATGGTTTAGATTTGAGTAATTGAAACACTTCTCTTTTACTGGTCGATATTCTTGTTCTAAATATCCTTCCTTTTCCTTTGACGCATTGCAGTCAGTTATCATTCTTAGATGGTACTTGTTTTGGTGAGCTTTTCCTGAACGAATATCTTTGTTTCCTTCATTGTTGGGCCAAAATATATCAGGTTGGCTGAATTAAGTTAATATCATTCGGGATGTGTTGTAAAATGATAGGTTGAGAAGAATTCTCTCGACTCACTGCAAAATATTGCATATTCTGTTCAAATTTTTTTTTTGGAGATATTTCAATTGGTTTGTCACTTTATGACTAGTCTGATTTGAGATGGGTATAACAATTAATAGTTACTTTTTTTTATGGTACTCTCAATTAACAGTTACTTTGCTCACGCCTTATGGTGCAAGACCTACGAATGTATATAAAAATAATATTGGTGGTACCGCGGTAGGTGTTGAAATATGCTTTGAAAGTACAGTGTATGAGATTTTTTTAGATTTATCGAAAGGACGACCCCCTTATCTATTTGAGCTTACAGTGAAGTAATAGATGCATTTGACGCGATATTGACCAATGCGTCAAAATTTATCTTTATGTCATGGAGGGCAAATATTTTGTCAAAATATTACGGTGGCAAATTTGCTGGCAAAAGCATCCTACTGTTAATATTTAGCAAAAAAATTTCCTGTTCAAAACACATGTGGACAGTTTTGTTATACTAGAGCAGTTACTATTTGATGCATTTAGTTCCGTCAACAATACTGATGAGACTTGGTTCCACATCAGCAATCTGGACAAGTTCATATTTTCGTTGAGTTCTGTCACATTAGTTGACGGCACTAACGTGGCAAATCGCGTCACATGCAGTGATAGTACTCCTAGGCTATTCTATTCTTGTCACCCACGTTGACAGAACTCAAACTGCATAAACTATTTTTGTCACCTACGTTGATGGGACCCAATCCTCCGATGCAAAAAGACAAAAGAACCATATTGCATGTAGAATAAAAGCGAAAGTAAAGTAAGTAGAGAATCTGAATAAAAAGGAAATCAAAAGTACTATGGAGTCCAAAACAGTTTCACCTGTGAATAACAAGGAGAGCAAGTATACTGACAAGCGTGGTAATGAAATAGTAAATACACATGTGAATTTTTTTTTGAGACATACGAAGCCCACATTTTGTATATATATATATATATATATACCCTCTTAGTCGTATATTGCATTGTTCAGAACAACTTGTGTTCATGTGTTTTTTTTACTATGTGTTGGTAGTCATTATTTTCTTATTCTGAGTTCACATCTTAATTTGTATTTTTTTTTGCTTAAAATACTATTGCAAAGGATCAATTTTGTGCGTTCGTATACTACAATGGTAGTAAAAGTATAGGTGTAGGCGATTTAAGGTTCGAAGGGGAAAAAAGAGCAATGTATATTGTCCGAGGCATGTCTGTTGTGGATCTGTATGGGAAGATCCGTCGAAAGTTGATGCTGCAACAAAATCAGGTAATATCTTCAGTTATGAGTGGAGTCCCGTGTGGAAATCGCAAATATGCAGGTATTGAAATATCTGATGATAAGGATGTAGATGTTTTCCATACAACATTCGTCGAAAACAATACGTCTCAATTTGTTGAGTTATTCTCAGTCATCTTACCACGTAGAGTAAGATCATGCGCACCCCGCAGCTGTCCTGCAGGTCGAGGGATGTGTTGCTGCATGCCAAATTGCCGCATGTAGCGATCAGGCTAGTGCATCTCGACTATGTGGAAAGCAATAATAAGTGTCACCTAGGGTTGTGGATGGAGCAATTCATAACCGATTTTAACAAAAACCGAACCGAACCGGTTTTAAACGGTTTGGTTTTCAAACCGAACCGATTTTCTTCTTTTAAAACCGGTTTTTAATATTCTAAACCGGTTCCAAAACCGGTTTGATGGTTTATAACCGGTTTTAATTTAAAATCAGTTTGAAACCAGTTTTAATTTAAAATCGGTTTGAAACCGGTTTTAATACAAAACAGGATTTAAATCAAAACCGGTTATGAACCATAAACCGATTATCAAGTTCAAAATCGGTTTTTTAACAAATTGAAAATCGGTTTTTGATGGATTGTGCTATTTTTATAAGTAATCGTTTGTTTCTCCCGGTTATAGGTAGTTGACCAACTATTTCTTGTAAGAATCTTCATTGTTTTGGAACTCTCCGGACGAAATGATTCTTATAGAAATTGTTTCATGTTGTTTTGAGAATGATTAGTAGAAGAACAGTTGAATTATTTTAAAACTATAAAAAAAAAACTGCTCTTCGTTCTCTCAAGATTTATGTTACTAAGAGTTTCATTTGAACTAATGGAGGAAAGTATGGGTAGTGGTGTTCAAAATATCCAAAAGAACTAAATCAATCCATAACCAAGCTGCTCCACATTTTAAAAACTGATTATTTTTAAAAACCGAATTTATATGAAACTGTATTTTATTTTTATAAATTGGTTATTTACCAAACCATAAAAGTAATTGGTTATCCATAACCAAACTGCTCTATAATTAAAGAACAAATAAGTAAATCCATTATGAGTTGTCCTTTTAACGGCGCTCTCAGAGATGTTAAGGCAATTGATTAATTTCTTTTCCCTTTTCGTTATGATTTTTAACTTCATCTTTGTCATTTCAAAGCCTTCGCCTTGTCAATTATGAGTGAGTTTGCCCGGAGACCTGTATGTGGTTATTTAATTTTTTTTTTTTTGGAAAAAAAGGTTTTACGTTACATAAGAAGTGCTTTCTTAGGATGCGATATTTCGATTTATGTGTACTTTTTTTTAAATAAATATTTTCTACTTAAGCTGCTTAACTTTTTTTTGCTAGTTTATTGTTTGGAAGTTTTAGTCAATTGACTAATATAATAGGCATGATAAAAGATAATACTTATTTGTTCTTTAATTGTAAAGCATTTTGGTTATGGATAATCAATTATTTTTATGGTTTGGTAAATAACAAATTTATAAAATAAAATGCAGTTTCATATGAAATCGGTTTTTAAAAATAATCGATTTTTAAAATGTGGAGCAGTTTGGTTATGGATCAGTTTGGTTCTTTTGGACATTTTGAACACCCCTAATGTCACACATACTCAGCATGCGAGCATTTGCACCGAGGAAATGGTATCCAATGTATGGCTGCCACACAACCTGTGTCAAGCAAAAAAATGATTAGCACGCGGAGACGTTTTATAGCATTCCCTAACACAAACACTGATACTTTAATTATGCTTACATCATCTCGACCCATTTGGTCAAGCTCGATACGATAATGCCTCAAGTCACGTCTCCGACCTTGTAAGTCAACATCATTAAACCTACAATATGTAACACAAGAACAAACAAAATTAGTAGATGCACAAATTTGTCAATCCATTAGTCAAATCATATACAAACACAATTGTTAAACAATCACAAAAATATTAATGAATATTCCCCACCTGCGTCTGTAATGATCAGCTGTGGAATGGGAGGTGCTATCATAGGAAATCTTACCTATGCCTATATCTGTAACAACAAAGTACAACTGTCAATATGTTTTGGCCAAAGATGTTGTCGAATGACATAACTCGCGAAACAGTGTGGCGAGTACAGCAGACCCCCAACTGTATTTATGACAATCCTCAATAATAATTGTATTAATCGACAAGGCATTACTAAGCTGGACTTGTCACACATCAAAAATCCTCCGAATAGACGCATAAGATAAGCACGAGTGTAAATAATCTGCCCCTCTATAGTAGCTGAGTGCTCAACCCAATGAGTCCAATGACCGGTCAACCAACTCATCTTAACTCCAAATCATCTCTTCCCATGGCATCAATCCCATGTACTGCTGGATTACATCCCGCTAGTTGCCATGCGTATAGCCGGTAATTACTCGGCCCTCAGTGGCCAAACCCAAAATGGCCTCTACATATTGTAAAGTAATAGTCATCTCTCCAACAAGTATGTGGAAGGTGTGAGTCTTCGGCCTCCACCTCTCCACCAATTCAATAATAAGCCGATGGTCAATTTGCCAAATAAATAAATTATTAAGTTAAATATATGGGTCCTATTTTATCAGTATTATTACAAAATAAATGACTACAATTAAAGGGAATGTAAAACATACTGATAATCATCTCATGCGAGCCGCGTGCAGAAAACCTGCACGCATCAGGTGCTGTTGTAAATCCAGAGGGATGTCATTTGGGTTGTGTGCATCTCTGTTGCCCCTACCCTCTGAGGCTCGCCTCACCCTCAGGGACTTCAAATGTCCCTCGTTTCACACGACTTGGGATCTGTGTGACTGCTGCACAACGTGATCAAGTACGCCCCATTCTTTGCGACCAGGGTCAATGCGGGGGTGCTGATCAGCCATGTAACTAATACAAAAATACAAATAAATGAATAGTTAAATAATATTAAAACAATAATTAAAACAGTAATGAATAAACTAATTATTTTTTTAAACGTCTTTCTATCGTAGCCTTTCTTTAGTTAACATCATTATACACATAAAAAAATAATATCTAATCATTTCTATACTAATTCAAAGTTAAAACAGAAAAAAACACTTTCATAAATATATTTATTATTTAGCCTAAACACTGATTACAACTACTAAGTAATTATTTCATTAATAATTAATTTTTTTAGTAATTGGTTTTCTATCCTAGGGTTAATATTTAAGTAACATAATAATTATTACTAATTATAATTGTCACATTATTATTTAATTATTACTTCATTATTTTCTATCATAAGGCCTAAATTATAATTAATGTTTAATCATTTCTATACTAATTCAAAGTTTTATAATTCAGTTTACCAAAAAAAAATTCATAAATTATATTTATTATTTAGCCTAAACACTAATTATAATTACTAAGTAATTATTTCATTACTAATTTTTTTTACTAAATGGTTTTCTATCCTAGGGTTAATATTTAATTAAAATAATAATTATATACTAATTATAGTTATTATTTAATTACTACTTCATTATTTTCTTAATATATTTTCTATCCTAGGCTTTCTTTAATTGTAATTTTTATTTACTTAAAACACTGATTAAAATTATTATTTAACTATTGCATTACTAATTAATTACCTAACTAAGTACTTTTTATACTACGGTACCCTAATTTATATCCAATATTTAAGTAAAACATTAATTATATATTAATTAAAATGATTACTATTTACTAATATAATTACTACTTTATAATATGATTTCTATCTTAGGGTATAATTACTATTTAATTAAAAATACATTGTACATATGTACCAAAAAAAAAAAATACATTGTACAATAGGAATTTATTAAAAGAAACTTTAACCTAGGGTTTTTATTACATTCTACAATAGGATTTTTATTCATATCAAATAATGTAATAACTAATAACTACATTAAATAACAAAATTTAAAAGAAATTTAAAATAAATAAAAAATTAATAACTATGGGCGTAACTGGGCAGCTGCAGGGAGGAGAAGCAGAGAGAAGAAGAGAGGCAGACTTTTAGAGAGAGAGATGGAGGGGATTTTAGAGAGAAAGAAGAGAATATTTTGAGAGAGAGAGAGGGAGAACTTTTGAGAGAGAGAGAGAGATTGAAGAAACGAAAATGCAAAGGGAGGAGCGGCTAAAGTGAGTAGTCAATATAATTGACGCGTCTGGAACGTGGCATTTTTATGTGGACGTTTGTGATGCTGTCACTTTATGTGACGTAATTACGTGGCATCAATTTGTTTGACGCATCAACTAATGTGACAGGACTCACCAGAATATGCCACGTGGCATGAAACTGGTTCAGATTGCTGACGTGGAACCAAACCCTGTCAGTATTGTTGACAGGACTAAATGCGTCAAGTCAGGTGACGGGACTGACTGCTCTAGTATAGCAAAACTTTCCACATGTGCTTTGAACATGAAATTTTTTTGCTAAGTATTAGTAGTACAATGCTTTTGCCCAAATTTGCTATCAGTGATTTCCACATGGGCAGCTAGTAAATTGTTAGATCAATAAATTCATTTTTAGAAAGTTATAACTTTTGGATCGATGTCCGAATTGGGTGATTTTTTGAGATTTATGTGTTGAATTTTTTTTTGAGATTTATGTGTCGCAAAATTTTCGGAGGATTATTTATTAGTGTTGAAAAGTAAAAGTAAGAATAAAAATTAAATAATGTCATCCATGGAGATAAAATTAGTCAAATGAGATATAAGGAAGCCTTTTTTTGAAATTTTCTTTGACCAAATCCCTTTCGGTTATTTACAAGTGCGTAGACCTTTAAAAATTACGTGAAATAAAAAAAAGGTTTGCTTTTTCTACAGTCAATGTAGATAACTTATTTACATTGAGTTCAAAACGACGTCGTTTTGAGCGAAAATCAAGGTATTTTTGTAATTATAATTTGTTTTAGGGTTATAATAGTAATTTTCATTATAATTTTTTAATTTTTTAACTTAAAATGACATTGCTTTGGGAGCAAATGTAGATAACTTATCTGCACTATAAAAACATTAAAGTAATAAAAAAGAGAGGAGAGATATTCTAACTACCAAAATTTTCTACTACCAACTTACTAGCTATCTAATCACCATTAGATTAATATTTTCTTTCTCTTCAAAAACTTTTTAACATTCTCTCTCTTTGATCCAATGGTGATGTGATGGGTAGTAAATTAGTAGTGAGAGTTTTTGTTAGTTAGAATATCCTTACTCTAAAAAAAATACCTGATTCGGACACCGAATCAAAAAGTTATCACTTTTCAAAATTTTATAATAAAATTTTGTAATCAAATGTTACCAAAGTTGAGTTTTTCTTGAAACTTGCTGCCACTAAGGCTCAAACCCGTTGCCACAAAGAGCGAGTTTTTGCTCTGCTCAAACTTTTTGGCAAAATTTCTAACCCACATGACATTCCGATTTAAATTTTTCAAATTCGTGTCACATCGGTCAATGTTCCTACCAGACTTATGTGGATTATCAGTGGATGAATAGATACTACGCCACCCTTAAATAGGTAGAGAAGAAAAACAAAAAACTGGTCGTTGGGGAAGAGTTGTTTGAATGTTTAAGATGAGGACAGGACTGTAGGATTAAGACGTACAGGTCAATGGCAGAAGATTACATGTGACAATGGGACCAAAATACCAATTTTTTGTTCCAACAATGTAAGGATGAGGATAGGAATTGATTAAAAGACTAATATTGATTAGTTATCAGAATTAATAATTTGTCAATATTTTATTAATTTACTGTACCTTAGTTGAGTGTCTTAGGTTCATGCAAGAATTTCTTTCGCGTAAGTAGAATGAATAACCACTGTTTTTATTTACCTCGTGAACTGAAAAATAAATTTATAAAAATTAGAAAAATATTACTCTCCTTTTACATAAAATAATTTATCTCATTTTTTTTATTTTGATTTTCGTGCTCTACCTTTTGCTTTTTTTATTTTTTTTTATAATGGTGGAATTCACCTATTTTAACTTTACAACAATCTTATATAAAAGAAGACTAATAAAGTCCTGAAAATTATTCAAACTCTTCGTCACTAATACAATCCAATCCGAACGCTTAGCAGATGAAATAGGTATATTAACCTTTAACCAGGCATGTTACCTTTATCTAATACTACATAAAAGTTCTCAAAATTGTACCCTATATTTGGAACCTACCAAATCAGTTTAGCCCAAAAGAAAAGAAAAAAGCTAGTGAAATCATTAGTAAACATTCAGGACATGATGCTGTGTCCATAGGCAAATTTTTACATGAATGAATAACGATGTGTTGAGATATATAGTTCCACATTGGTTGTATGTGCAACTAATGTGGAGTTTATAAGGCCTTGAGCACTCCCACCCTTTGAGCTAGCTTTTGGGGTGGTGACCTCAAGGTTCTTTACATGGTATCAGAGCCTCGCCGCCCCCCACTTTCTCTTGTGGAGTTTCTTAGCACAGTAGGCTGGGCCTGTTGCATTGTCCACTCTTCAAGCCCAATGGGCTCTTATGTGAGGGGGCGTCTTGAGATATATAGTGCCATTGTATGTGCAACTAATGTGGCCTTTATAAGGCCTTGAGCATTCCCACCCTTTGAGCTAGCTTTTGGAGTGGTGACCTCAAGTTTCTTTACACGATACTTGAGGGAAAAAGAAAAGGTTAGATGTAAACTACTCTGCATTTTCTCTCAAAATCAGAAATATTCATGCCAGAAAATGACCTTGACCGCCTGTTGGATATTTTGAATATCCTGTTCCTTTTCTTTTAACTAATGCCAAATTCTTTGAATTTAATGATTCTAAAATGAACGTGGTATAGGAACTAATTTGTTGGACTAAGCTGCACAGAAATTTTTGCCTCTTTTTCTTCCTTAGATTAGCTTATTGCTGCTGAATCAAATTCCACTTTTCCAAAAGGTATTCATTATGGTGGTGCGGGCACAAAATAACTTGGTTCTTCAAGAACCTTACAAACAATCAACCGCACAATGTAACAGCTAACGTGGCAAGAATTGCCATTAAGCCAAACTCTACCGTAATTTACACTTAAAACAAGTAACGGGAGGGATTGAATTTTCAACCCAGCAAAAACATGAAACGTATTCACACCAGCAAAATTCTATTCCTAACCAATAAATGGAAATATCCAAGAAGAAGAAACAAGAATAAGGGAATGAAAGAGCACATAATCACCCAAGACAAGTGAAGACTCACCTCCATCCCAGGATTTGACCTGTTTAAAGGTAGTGAATTCGATTCTTGGGAGTTGCAACTCTTTCTAGAGAGGGTTGATATGGTCAAACCCGAAATCCGATTAGTCGGGTTTGTTAGAACTTTAGACAACTGTTGATATCTATCAAAAAAGAAAAAAAAAAAAAAAAAAAGGCACATAATCTTCACCAGCTTTTCTTGTGGCCATGTTTTCCTGGACTATTGTTCTTGGAAGCCTCGGAATTTCCACTTCTTGGAGACAGTAATCCATCAGTGGCCATCTTCTTTTCACTCCACCCTCTAACATATTCTTTCTTCTTCACTACCCCTTCAGTCACCACCATCTTCTTTTCACTTAACCCTCTAACATAATCTTTTTTCTTCACCCCTTCATTGGTCACCACCTTCTTTTCACTCAACCCTCTAGCATAATCTTTCTTCTTCATCGACTTTCTTTGGTTCGATGAGCCATCCCTTAATGTGGGAATCACATACCATAAAATACAAATGCAAAGAATTGCAACTGATCTCCCAAACACAGTCAAGAACATCAAAATCAATATCATGACTAGTGGCAAATAGAAAGATGGTTTAACCATATCCCACTCAGTCATATTCCAAGTTAAGCTCTTCTTAGTTACCTTTTTATGATCAGATTCCAACTTGGGTTGCTTTCTTTCTTCCACAGTGGCAGTGGATTCAGTTGCAGACATGTCCAATGACTTTGAGGTAAGAGTCAAATTTCGTGCCTTCACCACTCTGAGCTCTTCACTCTTGTGTTTCTGATCCCTATTTTTCACCTTGACCACAATAGGGACGAAATCATCTGTGTTTGAGGACACAAAACGAACAAAAGAGATGTCATGAGGGTTCATCTGTGAATAAATCTTCTTCCTTTTCTCATCGAGATCAGCCAATAGTGCAGAAAACTTGTCTAGGCCACGTGTGGAGTAAGGGTTATTACTATCCCTTGTTTTGGATTTTTTGGGGCTAGAACCAGGGCTTGCAAGACATAGTTCATCATATTCGTCTTGGAAAGTTCCGCAAACACAAGTGTTCAGCATATGCATAGAAAAATGGTTTTAGGGGTACAAGGTGTTGCTTTGAGGAATTTTGTGAAAGTTATGCTAACTAGACATTGGGTTTAAACAGAGAAAGGGTGGAGAAGATTGGACCAAAGAAAGGCCTCAGAGTCAAATCAAAAACAAAATAAAGTAATAATCCTATAGAAGTTTCCTAAGGGGCATTATTGATCTTTGAAAAATTGGAGAGGAAGAAAACTGTGCCCCGTTTAGTTTAGTCTTTCTTGACCATGTAGACCCCAATGTAAATTCTTAGTAATATCTATAGTGCCGTGGAAAATGAACTATGTTTTTTTTTTTTTATAAATCAGACTTCAGATAACATGTTTCTTGTGGAGGAGGGCATGGAATTAGTCGTTTCCATTCATAAATGTGATAGGTTCCAACATGATGCCAATATTTTTTATCCATCCATAATGTCTTCTAGAAGGGACATGGTTTGAAATTGCAGCCTGAAATTAATGACAGTAATGGTTGCTGTCAGAGAAAAACAATGGGACGACTTTGTTAATTAATTAATGTCAAGAATTCATATATAGTACATATCTTGATGTAATGAATGATGAGGAAATTTTGGCTTATGATGGTAATTTTTTATGGATTTAGTTTTCTGAAATTAGCCTTTAGATTGATTTTATACATACTAATGTCTGTTTAATCTTATGGTATAGCACAAAGTATATTTATCAACATTGTCAAACCAACATTCTGAAACTGGGGTCACATTTTACAGTTCTACTGAATATTATTATGTTATTTTTGTGTCCTTAATTCTCCTTGTCGCTGTTGGATTGAAGTGAAATTGCAGAATTGTTTGAATTAACATGTCCAGCTACGGTCATACTACTAATTTGTTTTCGGGTTTTATTATTTTCCTTTTACATAAGATAGTTATCATATGTTGAAGAGAGAAAATGAGTGGATCTCACCATTACAACAAGAAAAAAGGAAAAGATGAGGTGCAAAAATTAAAATGAGAAAATAGGAAAGAAGTTATAATATATAAAAAAGAGAGTAATATTTCCCTTTGTTTTCTAGGAAAACCCCTGAATGGTTTATTGCAGCCGCCATGATGTCATGCGATAAAAAATATTGTTGATATCAACTTTGGTATTATATCTCCATATGGATGGTTTGCAATATTGTCCAAATTCAATTCATCATTTTTTTTAGTGAGTTTTTGTTTACTGAAAATTATAAGCATGTTATTGTCAGCAAGCGGTTGTGGATATACCACAATACTCTCGTAAGAGATGGTGTCATTACAGGCTTTGCTTGCATCTCCATAGCATTATTATCATTATTTTTGTTTTGGTGAAGACTTCATAGCATTATTTTATTTATATCATAGTCGATGAGTTGAATACAATCATACAGCTATATATCAGTGGAATAAATTGCTTCAGATCTTGTCTAAAAATCTTCTATCTCCATCTATTGAAAGTTATTAAATACGAGAAGAGATATATACGAATTTATTTTGTATAAATTTATGTAAATCCCGTAATTTTGGTATATACTTTACTATTAATTAACATTATGTTAACATGCCAATTTTTCATTCAAGGACAATTTACTATAATTACAAAAATACCCTTTATTTTTTTCCCAAGCTCCCAAAATTATGTTGTTTTGGAAATGCATAAGAAGTTCATTTCATTTTATGGGAGAAACATTAATCATTTTTTCTAAGTTATTTTTATGAAACAAAAATGATTTTAAATAAACTTGGTAGTTATTAATAACATAGTATAACTATGGAAAAACATTATAACTAATTATAAAATGAAAAAAGTATTTATCCTTTTAAATGACATAATTTGTGTCATTTTACTCGCACAAAGAGATGAGATTTATATCTTTATTTTTTTTGTCCATTCTCTCTCTCCCTTGACTTATCTTTTTCTCTCATTTAAAATGATACAATTTTACATCCTTTAAAATGACAGACTATTTTTCCCTTATAAAATTCATATTTATTGTGAATACGCACCCATAGACGCAAATCAGAAAATGAAATGGTTGGTTGTTGTTACGTGTTATAAGTCCACATGTGAACTTTCCATGTGTATCTCGAGAACTTCGTGGCTGCTGCGTAGTTCAAGGGAAAAAAAAATGGCAAAACACTTTTATATGCCAATCCTTTTTCAATCTCAATCCAATTTAGATAATCAATCTTCACAAAGATCGTTTACTAAAAATTCAAGCTTCCTTTCATATATAGAGAAAACAAGGTTAGCACATTTACGCGGAGTTAGAAAATTAGATATACTTAAATTTAATTTATGATAAAACTAGATACTACTTTCATTTTTATCGAAAAAAATCAGTAAAAAAAAAAATAAAAAAAATAAAAAAAAGATAGGTAAGGATTTACAAGTGAATTTTAAATATTTTAAAAAATAAGAGATATAAAAATATGGGAAAAACATTTGTTGTTATAAAGGATCTAACTTTATATCATTTTAGATCCTAACCGTTAATTTCCGTCAATCAATGATTAGGATTTATTTGGTCAGATTTATTAATTAATTAGTAATTCACAATAAAATTCATTAAATCCTAATCGTTGATTGACGGAAATCAACAGTTAAGATCTAAAATGACATAAAGTTAGATCCTTTAAAAGGACAAATATTTTTTTCTAAAAATATACATATTAAAGGCGGAGAGTATCAAAACATATATGTAATCAAAGGTGTTAATTATATACAAGTTAATGGAGATATATTAATTGAGTGGCCAAATTGTGAATCAGTTGCATGAAGTGATTGTAAATAAACGGTTGGATTGACCTCGGTGAACTGGTCATATAATCGGTCCGGGTGAAACAACGAATTGGACATGTATTGGACCAGTTCGATCCGGCCGATTTTCGTGAAAATCGATGACCCGACCCAGTTTATTTTAAAAAAAAAAATTCTAAAAAAAGAAATTTAAAAATAAATAAATCATAATTGACATATTTGAGTGATCTTACAATAAGTCATGTATTTATAATACTAATATTATTTCAATTATGCACTACGTAGGAAATTCTGATTTGATTTATAGTTAGAAATGTCATGTCGTTTACTGAACCTGAAACACCAGTATCACAAGCATTATATGTTTGTTTGATCCTTATTGGACAATAATGTGTAATTTTTTATTTTTATATTAAAATATTTAGAATTTATATTTTTTTTTATCTATTTGAATATGTTTATAATTTTTTAATATAAATTATAGATTTTCATATAATCATCGGGTCATGCGGTTGAATCAGTGACTCACTGATTGAACTAGTAACCCGATGATCCGGTACCGCAACTAGATCAATGACCGGGTCGATTTTAATAACATTGGATTACTAAAAAAAATTTATACTTACTCTCCAAAATAAAATAAAATTATACTTAATCTTTTTCTCTATCTTGTTCAGAATGGATAATTTCTTGTTTTGTTTTAAAATGATCATATCATATTGAATATCTCTGTTATTATTCATAGATCAATCATCAACAATTAAAGTGACAATTTTTATTTTTTCATTTAATGAACATTGTTAAAATGTTGACCATTGATCTGTGAACGAATGATTGATATCTTTAACAAGACATAATGATATTAAAACATAGGCAAATCATTTTCTCATGCTACATGATAAGAATTATCTCATATAACAGAAAAAATATCACAAGCAAAATCCACAAACAAGAAGAGAGAAAAAAAAAATAGAGATGAAATCCATATTTATTTTGTGTATAGGAACTTAAATTCTCTCATGTGAAATGAAAGAAATATAATCCTAAAATAAAATATGAGATGATTTATTTCCACTTGACCATACTTTATTTGTAACGGGGAGTATTTATTTGTTTAAAGTAATTAAATTTGAATAATGTCAAATAGACAAAGATATAATTTTGTATATGTGAATAGTTAATTAATTATACACTTATTATATAAAAAATATGATGCAAAAGAATAAATCAAAACCAGTCATATTATGTGAATAGTATTCTCAAGTAACGTATCAGGTCATTACTGTTAAAGTAACTTATAACAACGTGTTTTACCAAAAAAAAAAGCTTTTTTTTTGGGATATTGAGAAAAAAAAAAAAACAAACTTTTAACAACGTGCCCCGTGTTTTGCCAAATCACAATAATCTTTTTCCTAATTTGAAAAACTATACTAACCCCCTCATCTTCCTTAAATAGAGGGGATATATGTATGTGAAAAAAATAACATTTTTTTTATAAAATAAAAAAACAAAAGTAAAAGAGACCAATGTCATTTTCAAGATTAGATAAAATTTTCTATATTTTCAAAAAAATCTCAAACCTGAGGGAAATTCATTTTATAAAATTTGTGAACTATGATAGCCGATATTTGATATGTTTAATGCAAGAACCATTTCTCATTTAATTATATGCATTTCTCCAGTCATATGCAATTGCATGGTTTTTCAACTTAAATTTTGCACAATTTATATTTGCCTGACATTTGGAAGGGAAAGAAAAGCACCTCTCATCACTTGATGACATTATTATATTCGCCCTTCATTTTTAATTTTCTGCTGTCATATCCAAAATAAAAGTAAATAGAAAAATGCTTAATATAAATTACCCATGACTCACATCTCATTACTGTTAAAGTAACTTATAACAACGTGCCCCATGTTTTGCCAAATCACAATAATCTTTTTTCTAATTTGAAAAACTATACTAACCCCTCATCTTCCTTAAATAGAGGGGATATACGTATGTGAAAAAAAAACATTTTTTTTTATAAAAAAAACTAAAGTAAAAGAGACCAATGTCATTTTCAAGATTAGATAAAAGTTTCTATATTTTCAAAAAAATCTCAAACCTGAGCTAAATTCATTTTAAAAAATTTGTGAACTATGATAGCAGATATTTGATACGTTTAATGTAAGAACCATTTCTCATTTAATTATATGCATTTCTCCAGTCATGCAATTGCATTGTTTTTCAACTTAAATTTTTCACTTAATTATTTGCC